GGTAATTAAACAAAGTCAGAATACATGTACCACTGGTAATTAAACAAAGTCAGAATACATGTACCACAGGTAATTAAACAAAGTCAGAATACATGTACCACAGGTAATTAAACAAAGTCGGAATACATGTACCACTGGTAATTAAACAAAGTCGGAATACATATACCACTGGTAATTAAAAAAAGTCTGAATACATGTACCACTGGGAATTAAACAAAGTCAGAATACATGTACCACTGGTAATTAAACAAAGTCGGAATACATGTACCACTGGTAATTTAAAAAAAGTTGGAATACATGTACCACTGGTATTTTAAAAAAAGTCGGAATACATGTACCACTGGTAATTAAAACTAGAAATATGTCAGAATGACATGAACGTCACCCCATCATTCTGTATGATCATTTTCCGATAAATCATTGACCAAGCTACAACGGATATATTTCCACCTGTCAATCAAAATAGTAAACAATTACCAGGTGTAAATACATGCTGTTCAGGTAGCCATTGCAACACAGGGAATTAATAGGAAAGCATGTCCCAAATATAACGTTACCTCGAATACAGGGAGATCTGCGTGCTGACACGATCACCTGGCATGGGCAGAACAGGTAATTGGAATATAACGATAAACGATAAATCTTCTACTATTTTTTGTTATGAAATACACTTTTCCAAGTAGTTTTCTGATCGTCTGCAAATCTGACTGATGTACTGTACGCTTAAAGGCAGTCACTTCGACGAGGACCGCCAACAGCCGAATTCGCAAGACATGAAGAACACCAAACAATTGTGATAAGATCGGAATGTATTTGGCTGTTTTGAACCCGTTGATATTTAATTTTCAAACTCAAACTTTTATCATTATCGGTTCAATTTGCATGCTTGTCACTTTGTAAATTCCTGCCGGTTACTAGTATCACCCAATTTCGACTCTTTGCGGTACACAAACTTGCTAACTTCGCCATTTTACCCGTGTCTTGTGACACAATCCTACAGACAAGATTGAAGAGTTCAGCAAGATTTTACCCAAGAACGACATTTTAACCGCAAAGTAATAAATCCGATGCAATTCTTCGCTATGTTTCCCGATACGTGGTATTTATCAATTCACAACGTAACATCCTGAAAAGTTGAGCCTACTTAACTCAAGTTTATTTATCAGATTCTATAGTATTATATGACTTAAACTTGCAACTTTTCGTAATTGTTAAATTGGCAATGCAATCACGGATTATTCAACGAAATTTAGCAGTTGTATTGCTGTTAGCATATATCAAAACATTTCCGAAAATCCTCAAAAAAATTACGAGAAATGGTCGCAACCAAGGACTGGTTTTGGATTGTTCTTGAGCATCGTGTACACCCCTTTCTTGACACTTCATTTTCCCCTTAAAAAAGTGTGCACTATACGCAAATATTAACGGTAGTCATTGGTTAGACATAAAATATCTAAATCAGTCAATAGCAATTTATAATACGACAGTTTACCCCTTCGGGAACCTCAAAGGTGCCTGATTCATACTCGGAACATCTTTAGGTTATATGTAATTCCCGTGGAAAATTTGGAACGCCTTTAGGTTTTATGCTATTCCTGTTTACAAAGGAAATCAATATCTGAGTTATCCAAGAGCTTGTAATTAGCGCCTGGTATATTACGACAGAAGCAAGATACACAACAGCCCTCCTAACAGAGGTCAAAATCTGTGACTAAAACCAAAAATAATAGTCCCCACTGGGGTTCCCCCAGGGGTGACTAAAAAGTCGGAATACATATTCTGATACACAGCTTTACTCTTATATCAGTGTTCTTAACTCAGTTTTTTTCTCGGTGACAAATGTTTTGTAAAATCATCTGATTTTAACAAACAATAATACATTAATTACATTACTGATTCACACATTTCAAATGAGTTGGGCTGAATAGTTCTGAGGTGTTTAGACCAACTCTTCTATTTAAAAAAGTATCACATGAGATATATTTTATTTATGATTTTAAAACAAGTGATAACACACAGAAGAAAAATCTACTTCTGAAAAAACTTTCAACAATTAAAATATAAGGAAGTACATATACATGTAAATTTATACTTGTTTTTCTTCTTGTTCAACACCAAATAATTAACGGAAGTGACACACTTAAGGACCTATGCTACTTAAATCTGATATGTATCACGTCTCAAAGGGTCCCATGAGAGAAGTCTTCTATGAATGCTAGCATGGTAAAAAGTTTCACAGGTACACAACAGTGTTTGCATTTACAACATGAAAGGGATTCTAAATTCTCAATTATTATATATGCCGATATTTTAAGGGAGACAACTCTTACAGAAAACGAAAGTTTACAGTAAAAAGTAGCATACAGCCATGAGTGCTATTCTTCACCTAATCAATGCATTATTTTTTTGTAAAGAATAAAACTTCAAGTTATACTTAAACAATATTGATAGATCAAACCCCATTGTTGCTTGTTATTGATTAAAAAAAAAAAGGCATTGAACCTGTAAAGAGATTAAACACCTAAAATAACATACATAGCAGTGGTTTTTTTTCTTTGTGTAATGTATAGGTATGTACTGAAAATATTTTTATGTTACATTTCAATATAAAAAGACTTCTAAAATCAATGCTTTTCCTAAACACATAAGTAGCAGAAAATCAATTGCAAGAAAACATTTAAACCTTCGCTGTCTTTTGACATTCAACAACAATACATGATAAATGACACAACACCAAATACAATACATTACATAAACACTAACACTATAATCACTCCAACCTTACCCAAAAACACACTATCTACCACAGGTATTAGGGCCGTGTAGATTTAGGACAGTTTAAAACTAAGCATGTGTTGTAACAAAGTTATATAAGTTGTAAGATTCAATTAAACACAGTTAGAAACCCCTGCACATATAGTGTTGTTACATACATGCATGATGCAGTATAGCATGACCTGATGGACAGATGGCTCAACAGGTTGATTCGCTAGGTTTATTGAGGTCTCTCTAATATGATACATGCAGAAAACTTTCTGGCCTTTATGCTCCTTATGAAGCTTTAGAGCTAAAAAGCCATTTAACTACATTTACAAATGGTTTTGATCCCAATGGCCGACCTGTCTGTTAGTGTATTACTGTATTAAGTCACACGAGTATCCCTACTACAGTAACACACATCAACACCACACCTTCCACACACACTAGTGGTAGTCCTGTGTACCTTAACTCTCCTACTTTGTGCCTGTCGTCTCTGTCCCTCATAACCTGGTGTGTGTTCCGAGTATGGACGCTGTCTCCTCGGGGCAGCCTCTTCTTCATAGTCCTTAAATCTGACATGGACACTTGATGGTCTGCCCTCCTCCAATAACCTCCTTGTTTCCTCAAACTGTCTGTTCTGTTCTTCCTCCAACTCCTCTCTCCTCTGTCTCTCATCAGCCTCCCTCTTTCTTCCTTTATCCAACTGCTTCAGCATCCCTTCATCCTTTAGCTGTTCCCGCCTCAGCTTCTTCTTCTCCTCTGCGTCTTGCCTATTCTTGTCAGCTATCTGTCTCCTAACACCCTCCTGGTGTTTCACCTGACCCTGTCGTTTTTCTTCTTCAGCAAGCTGTCGTTTGTCTGCAGCTTGTCTCTGCATTTCCTCACGGTATGCCTGTTCTTGTAGCCTCAGCTCTGCATCCTTTCGTCTTTCTTCTTCCAACTGCATTCTGGTATCATTCTCAAGCTTCTGTTTGATCTTCCTCTTTTCCTCCAGTTCTTGACGCCGTTTCACTGTAGCTAGCTGTTTCCTGATGTTCTCGTCCTCGTCATGTTCAGCTTTTCTACGCTTCTTCTCTGCCTCCTCCGAACGGCGCTGCAGCTCCTTATGTCTACTCACGCCCTCATCAAACAGCTGAGGTCCACCCCTCCTCTGGTGTCTGTTATCAGGCTGAGGCTGTGACCTTGGCCCCCGACCCTGATACAATCCTGGCTGGTTAGCATGCTTTATCACATCCACAGAAAACTTGGTCAACTTTTAACTTTGTTATACAACTGGAGAAACAAACTTATGCAGTTTTTCCTGACAATAAGCATCATGCTCAGCCAATATGCAGCACAGCCCATAAATCAGGACTATACAGTAAAGACAAAAAAATATTTCCAAATACCTAAAATGATATTTTGCCATCGAAAAGGAAAATTCAGGTTGATTGTCCCACAAACACTTTCTTTTAAATTGAAAATGTTACAATATGAAGGCTTTCTTTCTTTACTTCCTTTCTTTCTTTTACATGATGAAATGAAAATGATGTCTTGGTTTATAATATAATTCCCTAGTATAAGCTTCGGTATATCATATTTTTTTTTAAATATCAACACTTCCAGCTAGAAAAAGGTAAGGGTACTATGTGAGTATCTTTAGGTTTCCCTATCTATCACAGTCCGTGATACCATAAACCATTGTGACAGGTACTATCTGCTGGCGATCTACAGGACCTGACTTACAGATACTCATATAAAGAAGGTAACTTCATTATAATGCGACACAGGTACCTTTTTAATTGAATTATTACCAACGAAGAAGTTAACTTCACTCAGACCAGAGCAGGTGTTCATGGTGACTTTACAGATGATTGTATCATGTATCTGTTATGCATAATATTCCAGCAGAAACTCATCTGAAATACTTGTGAATTTAACAAAAAGTTCAAAAAGAAACAACATCAAAATATCATGCACTTTAAAATCACTTCAAACCAGTGTCTGTGTTCTGCATCTGCCTGAAAATATTTTTCGTAACTATGTATTAAAAACAAGACTCACCTGTGTTGGCTGTCTGTAATCCTCCTGGAGCGAGGGATACCTGTCCGATGGTCCGGGGCCATAGTCGTCTAGTCTAGGACTGAGGTCAGGAGGTGGCCGACGCTCCTCGTAGGAAACCCGTGGCGATATTTCCTCCAATTGTCTCTGTAGTGTGTCCTGCTGTTGTTGCTTTTTCTGGTATAGAAAAAACACATACGTTAAGTGAAAGCCACATAGATTAGATACCCTTGGTATCATTACACAATAGTATATAATACGAACATTCAACTATTTAAAATGACAAACGTTTATCAAACTTGAAAAATTATGATAATAAATCTTTCCAATCATTTAATATTCCGTCTTTGCGTATTGCAGAGTTATCTTCTCTTGTGAGCAGGTATTGATTGTTACGTCATTGGTTTGTGAGAGTAACGTCATCAATTTTTGAGAAAACAACGTAATTTTCTCACACAAACCAATGACGTAACAATCAATACCTGCTCACAAGAGAAGATAACTCTGCAATACGCAAAGACGGAATA